CCTTAATTAAATTTTTTTTAATGTACGTTAATTGGCAATCTTGCAAAAAAAATTCTTGTTACGACATTTAGACCGACATTGCTGAGTAGCGTGGCCATATTGTTTCCCTTTATGTATGAAAAGAAGCGGTAGCGTCGGAGAAAGAAAAGTTATTATTTACCTCTTGAGTGCACGGGGAAAAACTGTTCGAGGAGGGTTTTGTTTTAAAAATTTTGTGACTTTAGTGGCCGTGAGAGAATGTAAATGAAATAAATAGTAGATCTGCGTGCCGGAAGGGGTCGTTTTGTGACGAGCTCCTAGCAGGCTCACTTCCGGTTTGATTTACAACCGTCAGATCGTGAGCTGGCGTGCATTCTTAGCTCAAGGAGTGCCGTGGAGTACCGCTCGTACATTTATCTTTATGAGACATGCACAAGAGAAAGAAAACCGAGTCAAGAATTCAACAGATTCCCTTTTAAAAAATTTCATTTAAACCGGTGAGGACCCGTCGTGTTCTCTCGGTACTTCTTTCTGAATTAAAATGAATTTCATTTTCTGTTTGTCGACTTAATTTTGACTTGAAGCTTAGACAGTACTAAATTGTACCATTGTAGAGAAACTCCCTCTCATTCTTCTCATTACGTTTTTCGCCTTTTGGATGTTATTTTACACCGTATCGCATTTCAAGCCCAATTATCGTATGTATCGATAGGAATGTAACCGAATCCTTCGAAAATACGTTTCTGAAAATTTCATACACTCATGTTACGCTCATTTAAACACGCTTACCGCTCGGTTCATGACCTTATCTCGCTTTAATTATTTATTCTCCAATTAACAAGAGGGTACCTCTCCTTACATATTGTAATCTATTCCGGCCGGTTAATTGGTTATAAATAATAACCCATTAGAAGTTTAGTTACATGAACATGGAACCCAGACTACTGAGCGTTCGGGATGTTTGTTGTAAATCCTCCAAAACGTTTCCAAATTTACCCAGGGAGCTTTTTTTACTCGTAAGAACCAGTCGTTTACGGATTCACCTTCCGTAATGATGAAATGCATAAAATTCACTGCTTTTCAGAAATGCTGATCCTTAAGAGTGAAATGGTTGTGTAACATGTTCAACTACTTTTGTTACGTTTTATCTATTGCGCACTCTGGATCACAATGATCGCGTAGAATTTCAAAAACTTTATCTCCAACTACGGTCAAAAAGGTAGTAACTTGCTTATTTGTTGCAATATTGTTTGCTAATAAATAGAATGAAATTTTCGCCCCGACTTTGTAGTTTGTGTGTGTGTGGGGGGGGGGGTTAGTAACAGTTAGCCAATGATTACTTGGGGATCGTAAGGTGTGGTCTGGTGTGATGTTTTTTTTAATTAATTTATTTAATTTGACATTTTTTATCATGCCAACGTTTCGATCTTTATTGAGATCATATTCAGGGCCTGGGATTTATGTTTGAATTTTAAAATTCATGTAGGATGTAGAAAAAAATGAATTTTTACAATGCTAGAAAGTTTTAGATTAAAAAAATGAATTTATACAATGCTATCAAATTTTAGATTAAAAAATAGAATTTATACAAGTCTAGAAAATTTTAGATTAAAAAAAGAATAAATTTATACAATGCAAGAAAATTTTAGATTAAACAAAATGAATTTATACAATGCTAGAAAATTTTAGATTAAAAAAAATGAATTTATACAATGCTAGAAAATTTTAGATTAAAAAAGAATAAATTTATACAATGCAAGAAAAGTTTAGGTTAAAAAAAATGAATTTATACAATGCTAGAAAATTTTTAATTAAAAAAAATGAATTTATACAATACTAGAAAATTTTAGATTAAAAAAAGAATAAATTTATACAATACTAGAAAATTTTAGATTAAAAAAAGAATAAATTTATACAATGCAAGAAAAGTTTAGATTAAACAAAATGAATTTATACAATACTAGAAAATTTTAGATTAAAAAAAATGAATTTATACAATGCTAGAAAATTTTAGATTAAAAAAAGAATAAATTTATACAATGCAAGAAAAGTTTAGACTAAAAAAATGAATTTATACATTACTAGAAAATTTTAGATTAAAAAAAATGAATTTATACAATACTAGAAAATTTTAGATTAAAAAAAATGAATTTATACAATGCTAGAAAATTTTAGATTCAATCAAAGTATTCGTACCTACTCAAAGAGTTTGTTTTCCGTGTAGATGAGTCATTCGTATGAGTCGTGCTGAGAGTGCTAGTAGATATTGCTGTTTTATGTATATATACCTTGGATTTTAAAGGGGCAGAGAAGGAAGTCGGGATAGAAAGACATTTATATGAGGGGTCGGCTTCTTTGTGGCGAAAGGAGCCGACGATGGCAAAAACGTGAGTAATGGTTCAGCCTGATTATCCTTTCAGAATTATATAGACGGGGATAATTAGGGAGAGGAAAGCCAAATTGTTGAAGAATTAGACTATGTAAAAATGTTTGATGTGTGGAATGTGATGATTGTTTTATATGCTATACATTTTGTGTGATGTGATGATGATATATGTATGTTATCTATATTGAATTTGATTAAAGATATTAGAGTAGCTGCGACTGAGTTTTTTGGCAGTTTGTGTTGGAACTCCGGTAGCGAGCCAATTCCGTCAACAACTTGTCAGTTGAGATCGTCCGTTGAGGCAATATCAGTCTTATTCTTAGACATAGTTTTCAACAGACCGTAAAATATAAAATTCACACAGACAATCCCATACTCGAGCTAACCAAAAATGCACAGGTTAAATTCACAGTATTAAACAACGCCTTTACAAGTCGAATCTTCGGAATCAACTGACCCAGTGGTTCGTACCTACGCAAAACAATAACCCTTAGGCCTATACCTCATTTACTATACTCATTTACCCTCTAGCTTCACTTAACTCTCTTTACCTTTTAAACACTACAGTTACATAATTCATGTTGGATATTTACCTTTCAGAAGTGTTTTTTTACAGTTCGGAATATTCTTAAATTAATTCTTCCTTATTATACATTAATCTCTATCTAAATAATGTAATAACTAACGAGAATTCATCACCTCGTTATGAATGGTAGCTGTATTTAACCAATAAAAACCTGATTAAAATTGTAAACACTTAAAATAGATTGAGCGCTAAATAATTAGTAAATTGATGTAGAGAGAGATTTTCATGTATATATCTGGTTATATTGAACCATGGTTTTCACTCAGGAATACATATTCTTTTACTTAATTAAAATAAGGCACCCGGATCCGCTGTTCCCACATTCATTACTCTGTATCGTTCGCTTTTACATTTCGTTTGCACAGAAAGATATACGATTGAAATGGATTTAATTAATTAAAACAGGATATCAAAGGAGAGTTATTGGTATGAGTCAGCAAGCAGCCTTTACTTCTATTGTTGGTGATTCTCTTTTATATTATATTTATATATAACGATTTCTCTAATATCACGCGCCATGGCAACAATTCAGTTTTCGTAGTTTATAACTTACAGTTACTCAAAATGATGAATTTCGATAAAAACACGTTTCCAATTTCGTTTACGTAGTAAAACGCTCGAAATGAAAATGTTTATATAGAATCAATACACTTTGCCCAGTTAGAGAGTGACAAACATGATGTGAATGTATACTAATGACCTGACAAGAATCTACTATCAATCGCGCTTGCCTTTTATTTTATTAGTTTTCGGTTGTTTGATTGTAGATGCTTTCATATTGACAACTGCTTTCCTAGACCTGGACTTATATGGGTTGCTGCCTTGTTCAAACAATATTCATATTAATCTGGTTTTCAGTAATATCAAGAGAATTAGGTAAATTAACGATTAATGAATAATTGTAATTGTTGGTGAATATTTAGACTTAACTAAAACCTAATATAAAATGACCTGTTTATCGTCACGTTGATGAAGATTATAAGAAAAATCCTTTAGATATCGTGGTCCGATTGACCAAATAACTTATTTCAATTAATTAATCGTTAAGTAAGGTTATTCGGAGATCGTGAGATGCGCTCTGGTGTGACGTAAGTTTTAGAAAAACATCTTTATAGTTGCGCTGTGAGTTAATTACGCAGAAAACAAACTCCTTTAGTCAGTACAAATACTTTGATTGAATATAATTATTTTTCGTTGTATAAATTTATATTGTTCCACATCCTACATGTATTTGTTAAATTTAAACAATGTTTGTAAATCCCAGTCCCTGAAGATGATCTCAATAAGGATCGAACGTTGGCACTATAAAGAAAATGTTTTTTCTAAAACCTACGTCACACCAGATCGCATCTCACGATCTCCGAATAATCATTGACTAACGGTCACTAAACACCACACATTTATGTAAGGTATTGGTTGAGATGAAAAAGTCACTGTCACGAGCGGGATTCGAACCCACGACCTTCGGCTAAATACGCCGCTGCTCTACCACTTAAGCTGAAGTCACTATAGCTCAAGTGGTAGAGCAGCGGCGTATTTAGCCGAAGGTCGTGGGTTCGAATCCCGCTCTTGACACTGACTTTTTTTATCTCAACCAATATCTTACATAAAGATTATAAGAAAATATATTTTTCGATTCGTTGTTTAATTATTGTTATCCGGCGATTTTTCTCTATTACATTAATTTTCGTTCGTTTTAAATATCAAGGTGCTGCATATCTTTATTTCTGTCGTTAATGTATTGGTCTTCAAAGATACCATTTTATACTTGTTTCGGGTAGCATTTAACTTTTAGACATTCCATGCAAAAAAAGACTATTAATTGCAGAAAAATACAAAGGCATACACTCCATTGTGCACGTGCCATATGAATTAGGCTTGTCATAAATATTCAGTAGTACAACTAACCAAACTATAAGATTATTTGATTGACAGTAAAGTTAACACTAAAAAATGTAAAATGAAATAATTTCTCAAAAACCAACTAGGATTTTTAACTGTTTAGTAAGTTTTTGTTAACACAGTTTTGAATTTTTCTTTTTGTTGCAGGTTGTCTGGTTTAAAGACACCCTAAGGCTGGCGTCGACGGAGAGACGGATCACGGAAGTTAGGGGAAGCAGGAATACACTTATAATAAGAAAAGTACAGGCTTCCGATTTTGGAAATTACTCTTGCCTGGCCGACAACGGGATCGGAAAGACGAAACAGTACCTCGAATTATCAGGTGAGGAGCTAGGGGAACGCTGTACCAGTCCGGGGATGGGGCTTTTGAAAAAGAAAAAACTAACGTTGTTGAATTAGAATTAAGAGAGGAAGTAAAAGGACTACCTTTTGCATGCACGTGGCTGAATACATCCAGACATTTGAATACACCCTCAGGGCGATTGCAACTTTCAAAGCTCCCTAGTTCCATCATTCCCCATTCATCTGCCTCCGAGGTCGGCCTATGAATTATTTGCGAGGTTTTCTTCCTGGCCTTTTCACCTGAAGACGGGCGAATGCCAGGGTGGTTCCTTTTCTCTCTCCTGGAAAATATTTTTTTAAACTCTTCTGTCACTTTAAGATATTTAATGTAAAAATTAAAATCTTATTTCAAAACTGGAGTGCACGAGAGACAATGACAACCATGACGTTTAGGCTCTTTCCATCCAAGAAATATTTTATTTTACCAGATCATCCGTCTTTCTTTGTCCTTTAAACAAAAAACAAATACATCTCTTACATTTATTCATGCAACATTTCGTTTTAAATAAGCCGTCTCACTTTCGAGAGAGATGAAAATACAAAAGCGCAGATATAAATTGTTGTATTATTTCAAAATTCAAAGCTAAAGGTTTTATTACATTGAGATATTATACATAAGCAAATTATAAAGTCTTAATTACCAGATCAGCGCTAGTTAAAATAATTATTAAATTGTTTTAAACCGTTAATAATAAGAATTTAGTTATGATCGTTTCATCACACTCGACACCCATTTAGATTTATCTTGAGCTTAATAATGCTACACACTAATACATAAATGTACGCTAATCAATGCCCTATTTTGAGAATGTTTACGAAACTTTTCCTTTTATATCTTGTTCAAGCGATATTTCACTTTCCCGTTACACCTAGTACTCCATGCAATACTCTCTCTTGGACTTTCTGTTTATTTCGATTTGTTTAATATAAATGTTTAATTAATTTAGGCCGATTTTGCTTTTTCTGTTGTGCTTCATCGGTTTCAATATGTCCACGGAGCGAGCGACTCCGCATCTCGGATAAACGGTACAATTCGCACATTTCCGGCCACCGTTATTCGGTTAAAGTTCGTTCAACTGCGCAAAGCTTAATTAAAGTCGTCGATTCCAATTCAAATCGAAAGACGAAACGGCAAAACGAGGAGTTACCCCCCCCCCAGCACTCAATTTGCCGTAAAAACAGATTCGAACCCAAAGAAAATTACAGTAGAATATAATTTTCTGGTACAACCGCTCGGACGAGAATAAATCGGAGCCGAATTCGTCTACAATGAAGCCTTACAGAGATTGATTCGGCTTTTGTATTTGAAGTGAAAGCGAAATGCTGAAAGAGAAATTGCAAAACGAGTGAGTTGCTCGAGCATCAGGAATAGGCATTGTTTCCCGATCATCATGAAGTTAGATAAACGTCTTTAATGAACTTGTAGCGCCACTCAACAACACTACCTGCCCACTACACAGACCAAATATTGTACCTTCTAAACTGTTAATTTAAATATCTAGTTTTATTTCGAACTGTGAAAATGAAAATCTGTTAGTCAGTTGTTTTTTTTAACGAGGGTTCGCAACAGCAGAGGTCAACCGTCAACGAATGCAGGGCCGCTGGATTCGAACCCGGGACCTTCACATTTCAGTGATGAGCGCCGTATCAACGCCTAAAGCGGGGAACACACTTACCCGATGCAGCGCTATGCGACGCTACCCGAGGCTACCCGACGCCTTGCTACGTTTTAGTAGGGTGTCCACAGCAAATATAGTTCTGATGTTACCATATGAATTATTTTACGAATAATGCGCCTTAATATTTATACAATTACAATTTACTAATTAGAACCGTTACATCTGCATTTCCCTTGTTGATTTTACTATTTACAAACATTCAAAACTTAGATTGTTCCAATATTGATTTCCCATGTGTGTTTTCAGGGCGGCCGAACCCGGCCAAATTCAGAAGCCACCAGCAAAGCAGGTCGCGGGACAGTTACAACATTTCTTGGGTGGTGGAGAGCTACACGCCCATCGAAGAGTGCAAGCTTTTTTTCAGAAAAGTGCCCAACCCGAACTCGGCCCAGACAGGAACTGTGCATTATACCCAGCCGCATTTTGGACAAAAGAGACCCCATCGTAGGGTATGTAACAACAATTTGAACCATTTTTAATTAAAATATAATAAAAACACCTAATAAAAATTTATAGAAATTTAAGAAAAAATTTCCTTTGTTTAACAATTGTAATCATATTCCAACAAAAATAACGGAAAAAACCTCCTACTCGAATAAGGAAATACATTAACAATGAGTTTTAACATTATATAAACACTGATAATATATCAATATTATTACAACGTTTAACCAGGGCTTCCGTTGGCATAATTGAAATACCCTTCAAATATTTTGTCAGGCTATACAAATTGTAAGTTATATTGTTTGAAATAATTTATGAACATCATCCATGAAACAGCACTTACTAGGATGTCCAATGTAGGTTTAGTTTTAGTAAGAATAAAGAATAATCTCTCTCAATTTGTATGTATCTAAAGAGGAGAGATACTCGGATCACAATTAGATATTGTTTGAAATCTTTTTTCAAAAATAGTGATCGCCATATTGATGTGTCGAATCATACCCCCCCCCGTATACAACACATATAATGCAAATTGAAACCGATGCGAAATATCCCTGAAAAATTGAATTAAAAATATACTTAACATGTTACGGTTCACGAAAATATGTTAGCAAATTACATGATAAATGTATATAAGTTTAATAAATTAATGGAAGATTTTTATGCATATAGTTGAAATATCATGTGGTAAAACTATTATTGAAAGATAATCTGTAAAAAAAACTACAAAACTGTACACTGGTGGAACAAATAACAGGCTGAGAAAAACTTTAGAAAATAAATTAATAATAAGAAGCAATACCAAAGTGCATACTTAAGGACGAAAATCTCAGAAATATCAGAAGAAATGAATATTCCCAGATTAAGATTAAATATAAAAAGAAGATATTAAAAAATTATCTCCTGAAAAGACTACTGCAAAGCGAACAATAAATACCAACCTTGGAACTATGTATATAAGTTAACAGCCGGGAAATATAAACATTAAACAGTTTTTACTGACTTGCGAAAGAAAAACGGCAGATATACGAAATCTATGAGTGAAACATTAAATGTATTAATGGAAAAATTTAATAAAGAACGTATTATGGAAGGAAGCCAAGCAGCCCGCCCATATTTGTAACGATGTACCCTTTACATTCAGAGAAGTGAAATCAACTATTCAATCTTTCGATACGGAAACCCGAGAAGATCGGCATATGCAACAGATGTTTTCTTGTGTTTTTAGTGGCCTCTTAAAAAGAGTGATTTGGTGTCAAGTGATAATATGCTCGGGCATGAGAACATTGTTTCGGCAATAGATTTGGATAAATTATTGTTACAAATCTTACCGTTTTAATCAATTGTCTTTGAGTCAATTCCATTACTATACCGTACAAATTTTAAAGTTTTGTTAAATATAAACGTAGAAAATATTTACTATTTTATTTGTTAATTTTAATTAAAAACAATAACCAACTTTTTAGATTTATTAATGTTAATTTATTTAAGAAAGAGAAATGTCCACCGGCCACCGACTCCCCTATGGAATATTTGTATGGAAATTTGTGTGGAACATGCTTAATAAATAAATAAGTAAATTTTCTCACTCTCTCTCTCTCTCTCTCTCTCTCTCTCTCTCTCTCTCTCTCTCTCTCTCTCTCTCTCTCTGTCTGCCTATCTATCTATCTACCTGTCAAGCTGTCTGCTATATATCTATCACTCTCTCTCTTTCTCTCTCTCTCTCTCTCTCTCTCTCTATCTATCTATCTATCTCTATCTATCTCTGTCCCTCTATCTATCTATCAATCTTTCTCTCTCTCTCTATCTCTATCTCTATCTGTCTATCCCTATCTCTATCTACCTATCTCTCTTTATTTCGTTCTCTCTCTCCCCTCGAATGAAATATTGTGATTTCTGCAATTAGCAACTTTACCAGTTTTTGAAGATCACCCATATACAAAAAGACGTCAAGATATTTCCACCAGTTGTGTGCACAAAATCCGATTGGGTAACGACAGCTTAGTGCATTTGGATAAAACCTCCGATAGAGGTATGTCAAGTCAAGTGAATTCGATTCTTACATTCATCGGCACGTAGCCGACAAAAGATAATGAACTCGACATCAGACCACTCAACTGTGTCTCGTCCCTCGTGCAAACCTACACACTATGAATAGAAACAGGGAATTTCTCAACCTAACCTAGACAACGTAAATAACTATCTTTCTCATCCGAACAACAATCAAATGGGCTTGTTTTGTATTTTTTTGTAGTTTGTAAAATATCTTTTTTTAATTATGGTAATCATCAGGAATTTTATTAATGAATGTGGCGCCGTTTGATTCTGAATTATATGAGGAATGATTTCCCATTCTCTTGAGTTTTAATCTGTTAGTTTTCGTTTCAATTTATAACATTAACAAGAAGGTTTCTAAAATATATAAAAAACGATATATAAGTTTTGATAAAAAAATAACTTTTCTTTTTGGTAAACCGGGGACACACCAGACAACAAACACATGTAATAATCTGCTTTTTATATTCGCCATCGAAAAATGATTTTGTGTTAATTAACAGAAGTGGAAAAAAGGTCCTATGTATTAGCCATTGTGCAACAATTTTCTAACGATTTTCCAATGGCCTCTCTTGATAGTAAAATCAATAATTAAAAAAACACTTAGTGCTTAAAAGGACAATATTTTTTCCATTTGGAAAATATTTAATCAGAAGTGGATTTAAACAATTGACAACGTTGTTCATCCTATCGCATACATTGCTTTTCCAGGAAGGACAATGCTAATTTACATACAAACAACAAACTCTCAGAACACCTCACCTTCATTACATCCAACTCAATGAAATAATAATACCATTGTTTAAATTATTTATTTGCTGTTGATATATCTGATTACGTCTACGTTTAAACTGCAGCTCCGATAGGTGACCTTTTTTTTCAATCACTGTAACTTTCTACTTAAAGATTCGAACTTTCAAAAAATTACAATTTAATTAAATAAGTTTTCAAAAATCCAGCACTTGAATTTTTGCACAATTTTGAAGGGTTTTGTAATTATCGATCTTTATTTTTTTGTGGTGATTAATAATTTCCGGAGATAATGTGAGCAATATCGATTAAGTGAAATATTAGTCGCCCTCTGAAAAATTTGCCCCCATTTTTTAACTAGATATCTATTTGTTTATTTCCAACTTGACGGTATAATTTATAACAAATTTTAGTGATATAATCTTATCCCGTTTATCAGAAATTAGTTTTTCTTTTTCTTTGTGATTATGTTTCCAAACGAAAAGGAGAATAATTTTCATTTATTTTCAAAGTTATCACATTAATCAGGCATAATTTTTTCCGGTAATTCATTTTTTCTCTTCCATTACTTCAATTACGACCGTTATGCAGTAAAATGTGTTTATTGGTGTGGAATAGCAGGAAATTAAATTGATGTTTGATTACAATCCATGTTATTTGTGATTTCAATTGGAAGTTATTTCATTGATAAAATAATATACTGTACGTAGATGACTGTTTGATAAATCAACCTAATTTTAAAACAGGCTTAAAGCTTAATACCAATTTTTGGAATATAATAATACTTTGTTTTACATGTTTCCAAGTGTAATGAAATGGAAACCATTATACTTAAAGGCACTGGTAATGTCCTATCTACCATCTCAATTTTCATTTTTATTTTACATAGGTTTCAAAAGGGTAAAATTATGTTCATGTTGGTTAACCTTTTAAAATTTTAACTAATCTTTCAAAGTTCTGATGGTGGTATACTCCACAAAAGATTGACATGGGGACAGTCTTTCCTTTCTAATTAGCAACATCCATAGATATTTTTACTAGCCGGCCCAGTCCAACTTCAAAATTTCAAATACGACCCTAAACATCCTGACACATCATTTTAAATGATTTTGTACGCTGAAAACAATGGTACAATAGTATTTTAAATTGGTCAAAAATGACAAAGTTAAGATAATATATAATCCATTACAGTTCGTGGTCCGATTGACCAATTAACATTTTTCAATTAATTAATATTTATGAAAGGTATTGGTTGAGATAAAAAAAAGTCAGCGTCACGAGCGGGATTCGAACCGCTACTCGCTAAAATACGCCGTTACTCTACCACTTGAGCTATCGTGACCTCCATCCCGCTCGTGACGCTGACTTTTTATCTCAACCTTTCATAAATATTAATTAATTGAAAAATGTTAATTGGTCAATCGGACCACGAACTGTAATGGATTTAATAATTAAACTGAAGTATATCTTCACGAAAACTCTCCGTGGCCATTCCATTTGTCGCCGAGAATCAAATAGATTACACGACATTTGAAAAATGGCAAAAAGGAGGGAAAATTCGAGAGGTGAGGTTGAGATGGAAGTTAGTGTCCGAGCGGATCGAGGTCACGATAGCTCAAGTGGTAGATTCGAACCCACGATCTTCGGCTAGATACGCCGCTGCTCTACCACTTGAGCTATCGTGACCTCGATCCACTCGGACACTAACTCGGAAAAATGGCAAAAAGGAGGGAAAATTCAGAAAGGTGGGGTTGAGATGGGAAGTTAGTTAGATTAAAAGATCTGCTCTTTTTACCACCCTTCACCGGTGCTTAGAGCGATAGAGCTAAGGGAAATGGATTGACAAGCATGTTCTATCCTTTGCCGCTATTCTTCAACTGAGGTTGCTGTGTTACGATTGGCATAGGCACTGTGTTTTAAACGGCCTGACAGAAAATAGTCAAGTGAGGTTAAATCGGGTGACCGAGGAGGCCAACAAATCGGACTATGAGGTCCTGTCCACCTATCTGGGAATTGACGATTCAAATAACGTCTCACCTGCAAAGAATTGTGTTCGGGGCATGCTTCAAGCTCTTCTTCTTCTTTGTCGTTGCAGAGGCACAGTAGTGTTGGTTAAACCTCACCCAAAAATGGAGGAACTGAGCACCATTTAAATTATTTTCTTAGAAATAAAGCTCAATTAATTCATTTCCGAGAGGAC